TGATTAGATGATGCAGTTCCTTCGGACCGGTGTTCAGGGCCAACCCCGAACACGGGGGAGGCCTAAACTATCCTTCCCATGACTGTGTTCTGATTTCGTCATCATCTTTCCACTTTGCTGCCAAGGGCCGCCCACACTTAGCACTGAATAGGTGACATGAACAACTGGTTGCTTCAAGGTTTGTTTTTCACAGGCGGATGTGTTAGCAATTCTGAAACTACTTTCTGACTGTTTTAAGACTGAGCAAATCGGTAACCTGGAGCAGGTTTCTCACTGTTGGAGAAAGAAGCTGTGGGTATGGAAAGGGGGTGATTAGAATAGGACTTAGAAGGGCCAGGGATTTAGCTCAGTGGTTTGGTGGCCTGCCTTGCAAGCACAAGGACCTGAGTTCAATCCCCAGTACCCCCCACACACAAAAAAAGAATAGAACTTAGAGTATGGGGTTGGAATGGAAGGTATCAGCATGAACCCATATTTTAAATATATTATAGAAAGAGAAAGATACAGAACTACATCGAGATGTACTATATGCTTTTTTTCCTATCTCTGACCACTGAGAGGATCCGAGAGTGATGTCATCCCAGCAGTAATGAGCACATGTGACACTACATCTTGCTCTCTGAATACCCACCCAAAGAAACCAGCACTCTTTGGAGAAATGACTGAGCTTTGGAGAAATGGGCTGCCCAGGTGCAGGGACAAGATGAACCTGGAACATCTTGTTGTGTCCAAAAGTAAAGAAGGGGGCAGATTATGATAAGGACCTGTGCCGAGAAGATAGGAGCCAGCTTGAAGAGGGTACCATGGCCAAATCTTAAACAACCTGAACACAAAAGAAATAATGATAGGAACTGAATATAATGCATGGAATAAAACAAGTGCTTATGAGTCTACATAAATACATAAATAAATAAAAATAGGGAAAACTCTTTCTTAGAGTTCACTGCCAACCATGGGCATAGAAGGAGAGAATTAGAAAATCACTCTTTGGTAACCACCACAGTGAGAATTGGTTCGGGCAAAGTTCACCAAGAGATGCTGGGTGTGGTGAAGCACAGTTCGATGAGAGATAGTACATTGCTATCCTGTCAGATTGTCTCCACACCAGACACTCATCATATAGAGACAAATAGTTACAGTATAGTGAGAAACCTAGCAGGAAGCACACTGACCGAGTGACCAAAGCGCACATAGAACCAGCCAGCAACCTGTGCCCAATGATACGGTGTGAGGAGGACCCACCATCTCTTCTGGGTAAATTGCCCAAAAGATAGAACCCAAATATAATCATGAGAAAATATCAGAATCACCCAAACTGAGGGATATTCTACAACATAACCAGACAGGCCTCCCCAAAAATTTCAAAGCCATGAAAACAAAGACAGATTGAAGAATTGCTCAGAAGAAAGGAGACCATACTTGTCTTTGACAACTTCATGCAATAGGTAGCTGAATTGAACCTGGAACTAGAAAATAATTTTTTTTCTTTGGTAATACAGATGACTGGGATAATTGAGAAAATTTTAATAAATTCTAAAGATTAGATAACAATAGCATTGCAACAGTGTTGATTTCCTAATTTTGATCATTGCATGGTAGTTATATAAGAGAATGTTGGGACTGGGTGTGGTGGCACATGCCTGTAATCTCAGGACTAGGGAGGCTGAGGCAGGAGGATTGCTGAGAATATGAGGCCAGCCTGGGCTACATAGTGAGTTCAAGGCCATCCTGAACTACATAGAGTGACCCTGTCTCCAAAAGGGAAAGAGAGAAAAGGAGAGAGGGAGGGGGAAACGGGGAGAGGGAGAGAGAGAATGTTGGGGCCTTTTGCAAACAAACATGAAGTAGAGGTAAGTATGTATCATATTTGCAATTTTCAAATGGTTCATCTGCATATGAGAACCAAGATCTGTCATGTAGAGGTACAAGATCCCAACAATGAATGTAACTGTACTGTATCCCTAAAATGTACCAATAAACTCAATTAAAGCTGAAAAAAAAAAAGAATGAGAAAATGGTAAAGTTAATGAATAAAATATTAAAATTGGGGAAAACTGGGTGAAACAGAAATTTCTTATTTTACTCTTGCAAATTTTCTGTAAGGCAGAGATTACTTCAAAAGTTTAAAGGTAAAATAAACATTTGCTGGATAAAAACATGAGGAATGGTCAGTGTGTGGTGGTCATCACCGTGGGGTCAGGAGCTGCCTCTGCACTGCATGCTCCAGGCCAGGGCTTTAGCCTGCAGGAAATCGCCCAGGGAGCTTGCTCAGTGCAGAGTATGGGGCAGGTCCTGGTAAGGCCTGAGATTCTACATCTCTCAGAAGATGCTGAGTCTCCCTGTCTGCTGGCCCTGGGTCACCCCACGGTGACCAGTCGGTAACCACCACTTCAGCTCAGACCAGGCATTCCGCAGCCTGGCTGCATGTTGGGACTCCGGGGAGCTGACTTGTAATTGTTCTTCCTCATGTGCTGCTAGGATTAAACCTTTGCCTCCGTCCTTTACCTTGTGTCCTTTTTTTCCATCTTCTCAAATTCAAACCCTACCTCTAAACACTGCCTTCGATTCCAAGCTGGATTCTTTGCAGGTGCTTTACTCTATTAAGCCTCTGCCTTTCCACCTTTCAGACACCCACCCATCTCAAAGTCCAGTGCAAGCCCTTCTCCCAGGCAGCAGGCTCTGTGGTGTGGAGGAAACCTTTTCCTGGCTTCTCTCCTGGGCTCCCTCTTCAACACTGGGCTCCCAGGAGAGCAGCAGCTCACAGTCACGCATTTGTAATCACTCTCACACCCACAGGGCACCTGGCTTGTCTCCCTTGGTTCTCCAAGTCAGGAGCACCACATGGGGCCATTCTGCAGACGTCGTTGTCGCAGACCCTTCTCTGGCTGGGCCCACTCAGGTACCCCTGCTCCTCTAGGAGAGGGAGCTGGCTGTGAGCCTGGGGCCTCGCACCATTTCTCCTCACTCGGAAGCTGGACAGAGGAGTATCTCCGGCCCAGACACCCAGTGGAATTTATCCAGGACAGGGCTCGGTCCCCTGCTGTGGAGGGGAGGGCAGGGGCAGCTTGGACCTTGCCCTGGAGTTCTAGCACAGACACCCAATTCCCCGGTCCCCTCTCCTCCCCATTCACTCACTCTTCACCCGCCCTCCTTCAGCACAGAGCATATTTAGGATCCAAAAGACTTAGAGGAAAATAGGTCACAGGGAGTGCCACCTGGGATGTACAGGGCTTGGCCCAGGAGAGCAGCAGTATTTGAGACCAGCAGAAGGTGAGGTTGGAAAATGAGTTTGAGAAGGGGGATGTGGGACTTGGGGGGCACAAGAAGACCCTCTGTTCTCCAGGCTTGGCTCCACTTGCTGGCCAGAGAACCCCTTCTGATCCCACACCAGCCTTTCACCCCAGGTGCTCCAGGGAAAATGAGCTAATTCCAATTAAGGGGCTTGGCTGCCCAGGGACAGGGCTTTAGTAAATGCCCAGGGTCCCAAGAGAACCATCTCTGGGATCTGAGGGAGAAAGGGGTCCAGGAGGGCAGCATTCCTGGTTCAAGCAGCCTCAGAGGTCCAAGGACTCCTGGAATAAGGCTCCTCCTGCCTGCTGCCCAGGCTGTCTGTCTCTGTCTGGGAGGAGGCCAGTGAACTGAGGATGGACCCATTCTGTCCTGAAGAAGGGAAACTGGCTTCCCATCAAGAGGCCTCAAAGCTCTAGGCCCCATCTCTGCAGGTCCTGGCAGAGAGGTCCCCGTCTTCCTGAGCCCAGGGTCAGCTTGGAGTGTGTAGCCATCCTTCTGAAGACCAGCAACCCTGTGCACTTGGAAGGGGCTGCCGGAGGTTTGGAACGAACGGAGCTCTGTCCATGCAGCTTCTCCTTGGGCTTGAGGAGTTTCCAGGTTCTCAGCCCTGCTGAATTCCAAGGAAGAGGCAGGGACATGGAAGCAAATATGAAATGGGCCCCTAAAGTGGTGAACATTCTCAGATCTAGGAATGTCCTTTCCCTCACCCAGCCACCCTACTTTGGGCTCCATTCCAAGTCCCCTCAGGAGAAGCTGCTCTCCGGTAGCCAGACCATCCCGCAGCTGCCCCGTACAAGTCAATGCCTGTCTCCCAGCCATGTTTTCTGGATCCCAGGGCAGCCCTAAGAACCCACTTCCCAGCCAGATAGTTTCCATTCCTTGACAATACCCAAATTTCCCAATCCCCAATCTCGCAAATGGCCTTAGAACCACTTTTAGTAAAAGGGGCAATTTGGATGCTAAGCTATTATAGATTGAAATAATTAGAGGAATTGTGACTAGATTAGAAACCATGAAAAGAATTATAAAGGGAATGAATGAGTCAAAATATTTTAAGCTGAGGCTTTTAGAAAATCTAAAACACGTGGTTGCTGTACTTACCCTTTCATGTCTCCCGGCCAAGCACCTGGTAAATACTTGATTGTCCCTTGGCTTTGACATTTACTCTCTGTCTTCTCCCCCGCCTCACATGCACTCCATTCATCCCCAATCAGCACATTACATGATTTTTCCATGAACTGATATTTATTGGTTTTAAAGTAATTGAATTATTGCCACAAGGCTCAATGGTTTTCAAAGCAAATGACAGAAGGAAACATCACTATGCAAGTGGGAAAACGGGCCAGGATGGCATCCCAGAGCAGCTGCCACCCTCCCAGGAGAGCAGGGCCTGGCTCACAAGGCTGTAGCCAAGACCTAGCCCAGCTGGACCTGAAGGTGACACAGCCACACCTCAAGGGATCGGAAAGGGTCCCCCAATCCTCTCTCACAGACAGACAGTCCTAGCCTCCTTGGAAGCTTCCGCCTTCAAGTTGTTGCCACCAAGAGCGGCTTGAAGACTGTGAAGACCCCCACCCCCACCC